ATGGCTGACTAGAATGCCTAAATGCCGAAAAACTAACTCACCCAGCTGGTAACACATTTTCGTGGGCGGATGGTAGTGTGGGAGACTTGCGTGGCAGCCGCAGCTTCCATCGGGCAAAAAGAGCTCGCCGGGTTCCTGGCAGGGTCCCTTGGTGTAGTGCTCGTGGCAGCCACCCGCGAACGAGTGGTATCTAGCCAGTTCGCCATGGTTAGAGCAAGAGCACGCGCCAAGACCGTCCTTGTCGAGGACAAGGAGTTCGCCTTTAGGACAGGGGCCCCGAGTATGCTTCGCGTGGCACTTGCCATCGCGAGGCCAGAAGATGTCCTCTGTAGCCAGGCAGGGCTCCGGCTCGCGGCACAGACCCCAACGCTTCTTTGGGCTTAATGGCACAACGAGAAAGCGAGACGCTTATTGGTTATTCGAGCTTGCAAGTTGGAGACCACGCAACTTCGACAACTTCCACTCGATAACATTAGCGTGCCGCCTCGCCAACGGTAACAAGACGGAACGTTGAAAAATGCTGGATTTATCGCGCTCGTTACGCCAAAACATTAGTATTATTGTTTTATTTTTATTTTTTATTGTTATTATTATTATTACTACGCGTGATTTATCGAGCTCCCGCAAGATAAACATACTTTGCTCAATTGATACGTGTAATGGTAATACAATGCATCGACTTATTTCGTATTCGCAGTTTCCTATTTTAAATTTATACTTATTCGTCGTTACTAAATTCTCTGAATCTGTCTCCTCGATTACATTTCAATTACAAGTCGTTATATTGTAAAAATCGTTATTAAAAGTCCATTTCTTAATAAAGATTATATATACAAGTCGCTTTCATGAAAATTTGATAACGTTAAGAAATATTACTAACAATCACAAAGAAATTATTATATTTATGTGTATATATTATATGTATTATATATATATATATATATATATATATATATATATATATATATATATATATATATATATTTACATCTATAAATATCATTATATTTGAGCATAAAGATAAAATTTTTAGTGGTTATTAGTTGACATACAGGATAAATTTTAAAGAAAATTCTCCAACATAAGTATTTGAGCTCTAAAAGCAGTAATGTATTTTTAATAGATGCTTCATTGGTATTGCTTGCATCCAAAACAATTCTAGAGTAATTAATTTTCATAATAAGCCAACATATGCCAATAACCCATAAACTCCTATAACATTATTCTCCCTTGTAATCGATGGACATTATCAATATAAATACCGTAAAAACCAAGTATGTATAAATATAAACAAGTTAAATAAGTTTAATATTGTACTTCATTCCTTAAAAAAAAATTGTTATTTTCCATGTAATTTCCCTAATGGTTTAAAAAGTCATTAATTTATACCAAAATATTATGGCTCTACTATTAAAAAGGTTAGATTGAAAGTCTATAGCCGATTTAATGTATGTAAAAATAATTGATGCGATCGTGATTGTATTTGACTTATTTAGCTTTTAGCATGAACCACTAATAAAATTATCAGTACAATCAGTAAGCTTTTAACGAAAATTTTAATAATAATGATAATAATAATAATAATAATAATAATAATAATAATAATAATAACAATAACAATAATAATAATAATAATAATAATAAAAATATCTAATTGCTATTTGTATTTAATTCTAAAATGTTAATTATAATTATAATTATAAGCTTCAAAATATAGTTAATACTTGTTGTAAAAGTAAATGATAAATTACCGAAAGCGAGAGATTAATGGTGTAGAATACACTAGCATAATCACGTATACAAGTAAATGATTAACGATGGCATAAATTACTATTACAACAGTGTGAGAAAAAACTAGATCGTTAGTATATCCTTGTGTTTGTATTATATATGCTATAGCAAATTTTCTATATAAATTTTAATTGAAAAAACAACAAATCATATCTTTACAAGTATAATAAGCTTCAAATATATTTTTCTTGCCAATCGAGGCTTTTTATCTGATTTAAGATTTAAAGATTAAATTTTGTTGCTAATAATGTAAAAAATATATTAAAAAATTTATTTTAATAATGTGTATGCATGACGAATTTATAACAATCAATTTATTAACGTATATGATTTCACAAAAAAAATTTCTACCCATTAACTAACTTGACAAGTCCGGAGTAATTTCTCAGAAATATAAACTATAACGAATCTATTATAAAACGTTATAATTAGATTTCTATTATAATATAATAATGTTACATTTGGTTTTCGCCAATCTGAATATACCGTCTTTTATTCTCAATGAGCATGAAACTATCTATTATTACGTTTTCCCACTAACGCGTCCGTCGTTCGTGATCGTCGCCACAGCGCGGTCCTCCCCCAGGACGTCCCCAAAGCCACGTAGTCAGAGTCCGATAAAGCGATTGATACGTACCTTGGTTTGCCGAGTGCCTCAGGTACCGGGGCGAAGTACTGGCCTTTAGGACAGGAGGCTCTCGTAAATATCGTGTGACAGAGGGCATCCCTGGGTGACTGGGCGGTCCCAGGTGGACACCTGCACTCGGCCCTGGCCTCGCTGCCCACCGCCGAAGGGCTCAGTTCCATCGTCTCCGGGCATGGGGCGCCGATCTGGCAAAATGTTCTCGTGAAAAGCCTCGCTCACCAACCCAACGATCAACTATTATCGGTTGTCCTCTCATTTCGTAATTGCTTTTCGAGTGGCCCAAGATGTACGAAAGGAAGGGCCGATGGGTAATTTGCAAATGTAATTGGTCTACTCGTGTTGTGTACGCGATGCCATGTACAGTGACGATTTAATTGCTGTCACTTGGTACCTACTTTATTTATTGTGGCTTTTCATCATAAATACCACTTTAGTGAAAATGCTTTAATTTCGATTGCGGTGGGACCGCTTTTACACAATAAGTACTCGTAACTAAATAAATTGCCTAATTATTAATAATTAATTGTCGCGATCGTTATAAAAAAAAAATAAATACAAAACCTCTCCGGAACTCGCGAGTGCAGCCGCGATTGCAAACTATCCGCTTAACTACTTGAGACTTAAAGTTAATAATGCCGAGACTTATTTTGTGCCGTTAAGTGAATTTATAACTTTTAACTCGGCTGAATGTGAAAAGGTAAAGCTAAACTCGTACTTAATAGCGTTATTTAAAAAATAATAATAATAATAATAAATAAATAAATAAAATAAAAATTAATGTGCTTTTTATAGGCTGCAACTTTTATCGCAAATTAATTTTGATTTTGAAATAATCCTCCCGAAATAATAAATGATTGATTTACGACTAATAATTATCTTCGCAATTAACGTGAAATAATCTTTTCATAATGAGAAACATTATTTAATATTGTTGGACTATTATTCTTATTATAAGGAAAGAGGCACTTTCCTTTGCGAATTCGCGCATTTTTACTCATCGTAAGTGGCGCTTTAGGTTTGACGAATAACTTAAATTTCAAGTGTGCCGCGAATATCCAAAAGGACATTTAAAATTGTAATTTCTTTTACACGTTGAGGCTTGGCGGGCCAGCTTTCGGGAACATCCAAGGTGTGCACGAGACAATAGTCTCTCCTCACGCGTATTTCGAAAGATCGTCGTCACCCCACCCGTGCCCCTTGCCCGATCCCCTTGGCCTCTGACTAACCCTAACGACTATAGCGTAAAACATGTCACGTACGTTAATTTCCGATTGTACCACAAGTTATGTTTTACAAAAGCCGCACCTCGATCGGTCGTCCGGCACTTTGCCTCGTCGTAGCGTCACTTCTTACCTGGAAGATCTTGTAGCATTTGCCATCGGGGGGCCAGTAGAGCAGCTGCCATCCGCGCGGCTGTGTCGCGCAGGGGTTACTAGAGGGGTTGGCCCAAGGTGGCGGCACGATCGCCGCGGCAGCGGCTGCGAGGAACGCCAGGAGCCAGGGCGTCTCCACCACGAGCGTCCGCATGTTCCTGTAAAGAGCGAGATTCCTGTTCTCGGTTGAGGGACTATAACTTTTGGTATGCTAGTGGCCCGACCTGGGTGATAGTACACGAGACTTACGAGATTGTTCCCTACATTCGACGACTCTAGCCACGGAAACGAATGCTTGTCTTTCTTCGCGACAAACGCCGGCGAAAAAATAGGCGACGCGTAATTGCAGTGCACAATCGATGGGTACATTAACTTTTATCAAATTACAGGATTTTTTAGCAAATCGGTTAAGAAAAATATCTTATACATTGTCGGACGATGTGAGAAAGCGAATTGGCATTCAAAACGCGAAATTCTTCCTGCTCTTAAATAAAAATCGTATACACGAGCGGTGAAGAGTGTATTTAAGATTTTTGGTTTATTTTTGGTGTGTTTGGATGCCACGTTGTTTGTTTGTCAAATTTTTGATTCTGTCTTGACGATTTCACAACAAAACAAAAAAAAACAAACAAACAAACAAACAAACAAAATTCGGAAAACCGAGAGAAGAAAAAGTTTGCTCGTCGACGATAAAATGACCATACTTTCACTGCTTCATTATGGCAATGGCATTGCCCGTGAACCTCTGCAATTACGACGAGCATACCAAGTGCGATACATATACGCTATCAAGCATAGTCCAGTACTTTTCGCAATTCTTTCAACTTGCGATGAGCCAAATGCGAGTATCTTAATCCATACGCTCACCTACTTGTGGGTCTGCTATAATGTATTGGGCATACTAAGTGTGTTTCACTCGCATAACGTATGTCGATAAATGTGATTAGACTATCCACGTTAAACTGTTGGCGCAAATAGTTTCATCTTTTATGCAAAAATATAATTTTTATTTAATATTTATGGCTTGTGTATTGTTACATAAATTTTCAACAATTAAAACTTCGTAATTACTCAAGGAAATACTGATATCGATCTAATAAACGCTACCTCGACTTCTGTTTTTCTTTTCGATGGCACATTATTATCAAATGTCATCACTACAGTGAGAAATGGCAATTTCATAAATACCTCAGTATCTGTCATGAACTTCTTAATCTTTAAGATCAATTTCATTAGCTTTATTCTTTAATACTGTATTACTAATACTCTGTATTAATAATAAGGATATGATTGCATTGAACGCTATAAATCTTATTGAAGTGATATTCCAGGCAGAGAACACAGTCACGTGCATCGTCTGCCTTCCTCTGGTGCGCAGAGGCATCGCGAATTTAATTTTGCGAAACGTCTCGTACACAGACCGAATTCCGGGCATAAAAAATTTCAGATACCTGCCTTGATATTGGTGGTGGCGGAGCGGATGGGGGTTGGGGAGCTTCCACGGCGGCTCGCGGGTGAAAGCAAAGACTCCCGTCGGGCGGGCTAAGGAGTTCCTGAGATGCGCGCGCATCGCCTTATCACCACGACTAATTAATTAGACTCGCACGATTGTAACACTAATGACCCGACGGTGATCCTTTGGCGACCGCGACGACCGCCTCGTATACTTGCGTGGCTTTGGTCGCCTCGCGGCCTCTTTGACGACTTTTTTATCCCTTCGGGGAAAAATTTGCACTTGCACGAATGCTCGAGCGGATTTGCCGCAACTCGTTCGAATATGGTCGATGCTTGAGCTGAATACGCGTGGATTATGGAAAAATCTTATTACGCGTTGCGAACATGATTTTTGTTTTTTTTTTTTTTTAAACACGAGAATTGGCGTATTAACGGTCGATGCTCCTTCCGGGAACAACGAATTCTTATCGATGAGTTTTCAACTGATTTGGGCGAATGCATCATTCGATCGGTCTCCCTCGATATGCGAATTGAGAAATACGTTTGACTATTCGTAATGATATTTTTCTAAACAAATTTTGAAATTTTTTATTCTTTAATGGGTGTGCGAGTAGAATATAATAGGCAATAAAACCTTTTTATTTTGAATCTCACTACATTAGTTGTTCTTTATTACTCGCCTTCGTAAAGTCTTTAATTGTAAGTAAAAGTTCAATTCTCACATAATAAACAAAGTTTGGTTATTTATTATTGAAATTTTCACTTATTAGATACGAGACACAATGTAGTTTCTTAGAGTTAATTGAATTCGTCGAAAAGTAATTCTTCATCGGTTAAAATTGAAATTGGTGAGAAGATCGAAATTGTTGTGCTTAATTAGCTAATGTCAAAATTTATATATTCGTACATATTTTCACTCCTATAATAAGTCGCCTTACGCGTACATAAATCTAGTTGAGCTTGTTTTTGTACCAAGAAAAATATATCACAAAATCAACATCTTAAAAGCGAGATCTGAAGCATTAAGCATATAATGTATATTAATTTATTAGGCTGTTCTTGTCACGCGTTTCGCTCTCGGTTTCTCACCTTCCTAATACCTAACATCTAATCTTCAAAATACAAAATAACATTTATCGATGCATTGGTTTATCAAACTATGATTTCTATAAACTTTTACCGCTTAATGCTTTGCCTTAATGTGTTGCCATTGGTCTGATATGTATGCATTACAGTTTTGTCTTCCGACGAGTATATCATCATCAAGTCTTGCTAATAATGAAAGCCGCAGAAACTTATGCAAATTATAACCTCGGAATGCATATAATAGTTATAAATAAATCAGTGAAGTTTGAAGCAAGTAATATGAAATTTTAGTAACATTATCAAAAAATTAATCGGTTAATATCTATATTTATTGGAACGTCACGAGTGGCTATGGAATTTGGAATTGAAGAAAAACAAATGGATAAAGTATTTTCATGTCTCTCTCATACCATACTGAGAAGGACTTTATAAAACCGTTTTTATGCTTATTTTCAAATAGAACGTAAATATTGCTCAATCCACTCTATATTACCAGTGGCTTTAATTATTTGAAATTCGAAATTGCTACAGGGTAAGGAAATATGGCGACATTCACGTATTTTCCAAGCCGATACCATAAAAGTAAATTCAAGTGGTAAAGAACCCGCCGGATATTATTCAAAATTAAAAGGACCTTCGACAACGGCAAACGAACTATCGCCGGTATGTCGAAAACAAAATTACTCAAGGGTCGTTTGGTAAATTGTCGCCGACTTACAACGACAGACGATGATAGAAGAGAGCACAAATGTCCACGAAACAAGCAAAGGCTAAAAACGAACAAAACGAACAAAACTCGCACTTCGAGAGGCGTTCGTCGAACGTTGGCCTCACTTTCCGGGCCGCCCGCCTCCTTCCGCCTGTGACTCTCATGGAATCATCTCCTCGCGACAGGAGGAAAGTGTGGCCGGCGGGGGTGGGGGGACAAACGAGCATATTAAAGTGCGAGCGCGAAGAAAGTGAGAGTGGCTACGGAGAGATGCTCGAGGTGTAATTGCCCTCGTGTATTTCGAGGCGCTAGGAAATCGCGCTCGACCGCAGAGCTCAGCCTTTACACACACGCAGGCATTATATAAGTGTGCTTTGGAGCTGCCATTCCAATGAAATTCATTAACTGCACGCGTGCATGAAGATAAGAATCTTATCGCGAGCGATATAAATATTATTTACAAACCGAGTCATGTTGAGTTTCCATACCGATGTCTACCGCATGTCTACCAGATTTTATGTAGCTGTTGTGTTTTTCCTCTGGCACTTATGCATGCACTATCTATTTACTTGTCGTTGATCATTGATTCATTGGCTTTTTCCGATAACCCGCATTTTTTTAACTACAAAATTACGGCTCTACATGCATAACCAGTTCAGCATTACAAAGATTTTATTCCTCTTTATTCGGCTGTTAAACGCCCATGGACGATAGTTGCTTACGGTTTTTCTTTTTTAACACAAATCCCGATAACCAATTTACTCGATTCTAATACAAATAGAAGACATATAAAATATTAAATTAATAATAATAAGATAATATTACAAGAAATACAGATTGTAGCAAAAACGTGGAATTTAATTTAAAAAAAAAAAATAATAATAATAAAATTAATTTTTTTTAATACTTTATGCAATTATTTATAAAATTTCTAACCTATTAATCAGTAGGAAAATTCTAAATGAAAGCTACAAGGTAACAAAAATTTTTTAGTTTTGAAAGAAATGTCTTAAAAGAAAGCTGCATTCGCACAAAACATAAAAGTAGACAAATTTTTAAGCTAGTACTTGAGCATAATGAAATTCGCATAAACAAAACAAATTTTCATTCATATATAATAATTAGTGTTCAATACAATTAAGACACGATAAATAAATTTTACTTATAAATCTCGATATTTAGTTTGTTATTTATTATATACATATATATACACACATATATTCAAAATTTTTTAAACTTTATTTATCAAGTAGAAGTGAATTATGTTTTCTTAATATTTGAAATTTCTCTTATGTCTCTTAATTTATATTTAATTAAAATAAATCTACAACGTTATGATTGATATAAACAATTATATTAAATCTATTAATTTTTTTTTTTTTTTTTGGAACTTGAAATTTATAAATATGTTGTATATAAAATAATGTTAAAAAAATATAGATATTTTGTTAGGTTCCTTTGAAATTTGCTTTCATCTGTTTATTGAATCACATAAAAGTAAATTGTAAATATAAATTTATTGGTTAAAAAGACTTGCTTAAAAATACATTATGAAAAATTGTTTTTGGAAATTCCGAATTATGCCGTATAAAATATTACAAATCGTAACTTAATAATTCACATCGACATATTTCACTTTAAAATACAATGTGTTAATCGTCGTTATAATGAATTTAAAAAAATCAATTTGCAATAATTGCTGCATTCGCTGTAAGCAGGTCGTGAGGTATAAATAAGATTTTAATTTAATTAAGTTAAATATATACTTGGACGTAAGCTGTCGGTACAGTTGCTCAATTTAATATTAATCCATAATTTCAAAGATTTACTTTATTTTTCAGGTTAGTATTCCAATTGCCATGAGTTAGTCAATTGAAGTGAATAATTTTATAACTATGATTACAAAAGATAATTTTTTGTTGGCTTAAAATACAATGGCTTCAAAGGAGTTTAAATATTTAACAAATATTTTTAATTTAGTATTTACCATACAATTATGCAATTAAGCCATATATTTAGTGCTTAAATTTTAAAATACTATTAGTTTTTTGCGAGTAAAATTTAAAAGGACTAAGTAAGTCTTGTCTTTTTAAAAATTTAATTGACAGTCATTTCTTACAAAAACATATAATTGCTTAACAATTCTTTTTCTAAATTAAATGTGAACTTGAGTAGTTGTAACTTCATATTTTGTCCGATATAAATGTAAACTTATATCACAGACTGCCAGTATTTATCAAGAGAAGTGCCGCAACTGTTACTTAGTATTTCTTATTTTCATATTTATTTTTATTTGTTTTAACTAATATCGGGTATCGGCCGATATGTATTTTATAACTTGTCTCACTTGCCTAGTTTTAGTTACCATTATCGACTGTTTTTCGTTCATTTTCGTTATAGACCTATTTGTAGTTATTTCGGACGTTACTGTTTTTTCTACACAATAATAATAAAAATGTTTATTATCGAATTTATTTTACATACTGTTGTTATTTAAAAATACTTTGGAAACTATGACAAAATCTTTTCCCGTTACAATTCGTATTTATAATTACATTTTTTAATTTATTAGTCAGTATATCATACGTTCAATTAACGTTATACAGTATTACATTATGTCGTATTGTGTTATTGTCAACTTATTCATAATTACATTAAACTGCAAATTGCTCTCTTTATTATTCCAAATAAAAAAAAATTAGTTTAAATATAAATACATATTTTTTAAATCTTTTAAATCCGTAGAATACAAATAAATATAATAAATTTACGTAAGTTTACGATGGAATATATCAGGTATTATGAAAATATTGTTAAAGTATTTAAAAATTATTAATATTACGATTAAAATGAATTAACTAAACAATAACATTCTTTATTGTTAATAATAAATTTGGTAATTATAAAATAATTAAAAGATTAATTAAATATTATTGAAGCAGTTTACTATTTGAATTTAACACTAATGATTTTATATATATGTTCAAGTTGTTTGAGTTGTCAAATTCCATTTGCAAAAATTGTTATTTTGATTACTAAAAATAGTAAAATTAATTACACAAGACGTATATAGAGACCTGTTGAATGGATTGCGAATTCTCGCACATGTACGGAGCAATAAGATCTCGTATGAAATACGTGTTTTTTTATCGCTGGAATTACGTCGATCACGATGGACCTTATATAATCCATCGGCGCATGCGTATGCGTTTCAAAAGATCAGATCGCCGAACCAAAAGCCATGACTACGCGATAACGTAATTTAGGAAAACGAAATTTAGTCCGCGTAATGTTGTCATAATTTTTTGTCATAAATACACATTCTCTTAAATACAATTAATATTAACAATTACCATATTAATATAATAGTCGAGATTTCTAATTAAAACCAAATAATTTTTAGTAAAATTGTTATTCGCAATGTTTTCTTATCTCTGTATGAAAATTCTTTCGTTAATCAGATACAATTGCCACTTTTGTCTGCATTTTCAAAGTAATATTATTTGTAAATGCATATGTTTCTAATAATAAAAACAGGAAAATTTGTGACTAAATGTTTAATTTAAAATAACTTTTGTAAGAATTGTAAAAATTTTACTACGCAACTTTTTAATGTACTTTATATTTATGTATGCTAGATAAAAACAAAATTATTTGCAAAAATAATTTTTAGCTGAAACATTAAATATTTTTCACCTTAATAATTGTTATTTAGTTAAACTACAAATGATCATCTAATATTTTACTTTTTATATTTGCATATGATGAAATATATTAAAAATTATAGACAAAAATAATGTTTTAATACTTTGTTAGTTATAGTCGAAGAAGCAGCTACAGATAATCAATAATCTGAACTTATTACCTAATAATTAAAACCTAATATTTATAAACTTAATATTTTTATAGATTACTATATGTTAATTATTATTATCTATGAGCAATCTTAATTATACGTTTAATAACTGGATGATATAAGAATTCATATTAGTAATTTAATTGCTCAAAGCAAGTTATTATTATAAGATAATGTAAGTTTTCTATAGATTTCATGGTATTTATTAAAAATAATATGTAACTATATTCTTAATTTTAGAGTAAAAAATATTTCATTCCCCTCTTCATAAGACATCTATTCATTACATTTTAATGTGTATTTTATTAAATTTTCTTTTATATTCATTTAAAAACATTGTACTAGTGATCTTCTTTACTATAAAATTAAAAGTAATTTATTTTATTTCATTATCAGTATCATAACAAAAATGCTGATATATGATTAATGATAAATGAAAATTTATTTATTTATAATGTATGCATTGACGTGTGAGCCAAAAAAACAAACGATAATATTTAATAAAGGCAAATTATACTACAAGAAATATAATAGATATAAGATATAAAATAAAATATTAATGAAAAACATTGATTAAAGGGTGAATCATAAAAAATATGATAGAAATTAATCATTTTTCTTATCGTTACTGCTATTACTGTTATTATTATTCCACAATTTAGTTTATTAGATCAATATTATGTTATAATAAACTATATATAATGAATTCTTTAGATTTGTAGTTAATTTTGTATCCTACTTTAAGAAAACGATTATTTAATGTTAAAGAAAATATTTCATACTTTTTATTATTATTATTATTATTATTGTTATTATTATTGTTATTATTATTATTATTATTATTCAATCATTCGTAGGCTATTTATCAATTTACGTTTTTCTATATTCGTATTTAAGTAATATGTTGCGAAAATCAGAGGTCAATAAGTTAAGACATAAAATGAAACTGGATTTATTTTTCTAAAATTTCCATAAATACGTAATATGAAATCTAGTGTTTTTAATTATTTCCACAATTGACGCCGCAGTAATTTCTGAGACAATTGGTACTTTTTCACAATCGAAACAGGATTCTTATTTCACAAATTTAGTGTAGGTACGCAAGTATCGCAACAAGTGGAGTGGGCAGTAAACCAGTGTAGGGTATTCATGTGAAATAAATATAAAATCCCATCCCACACGAAAAATGTTTCAGCTTAGAATCAATCTTATTATAAATTATGTTTAAGGCCTTATTGAAAAATAACGCGATTAATATGTAACAGCAAATTCATTAATTCATTATTCTTAATTATTGCAAATATATACAAATGTACATATAGTATACCTCCTATGGAAATTATTATAGAATTAAAAAAAAAAAGTCTCATTACTATTGAAAAGAATAATTTGAATAATTTTCAACACGCTGTTTCTTCATCGCTTATAACGATATAATTATATTTCCTTTGCGTGACATTTGATGTCCAAATTATTGTTTTGAGGACAATTAGTGTCAATTTAATGCCATTGTGAAAAAAAAAGAAGAAATATAAGAAAGTATATTAATAATAATAATAATAAAGCGTGATTCCAAGGTGCACACTGACACTTATCTTGATATTTAGACTATATCAACGATTGCAGCAGCACTATTAAGAGGACTCGAAAATTCGGGAAATCTATTTACACGATTATGTAATGTTTTTTATGAAATAGAACGTGCATTTAGTTTGTAGTTTGTGTGTACGAGCGTGTGTTGGGTGGCGTTGGGGGCGTCGGAGGCGCGGGGGAGTTTGCATAACATCGACCTACGGTCTATGACAATTCTAGGCGAATCAAATGCAAATATCCAGTATCACAGCATTGAGAAAATTCCCAAGCAGAATATAGAGACACGCGGACTCGACCGTAGCTACAAAACACCGTCGACTACCTTTCGAATGAGTTGGGCACAATAGCCCGTCGATTGTTGGCACAAGGTTATCAGTGGCGCGTAAAGTATTCAGTCGCGCAGCACCGACCGACCGAATCATTGGCCGAACGAACCAGCGGTCGAGAAGATACGAAACCAGTACCTAAGAAAGGTCCGGGCGCAAACTGCCCGAGCCAGACGAGGACAACACTTACGTCGATCGGCGTGCGAGCTCCTCCTCAGACCTCTCCTCTCTCCTCTCTTTATCTCACTCTCTCTCTCTCATCGACCCGAAGATTCAAACAATGCTCACACCGCGCACTCGATCATGTCGCGACGATGATACCGCGTGTCGCGCACCTAGGTCCCATGCACACGACCGTGCTCCCCGAGAGCCGCGCGACGACTGAGAGCCGCTCGACGCATTGTTACTTAACCGCTTTGAAATTGAATTCAACTGAAATGGACGAGCGGCCACGACGAACCTTCACTTTCGTGCTGCACGCAGCACCGGCGAACCTAATCCGCGATCTATCCAGCCCCCGACTGCCAGCCCCCTTCCCTCCCACCTCATCCGTTCGTGACCGGCTGCCACCCACACGACATTAATTATTATTATGTCCCTTCAGGACGTAGTGGCTTCGATGCTAGAATCCCCTCGGCGGCTCTCGATAATTATTCTACGAGTTGATGGCTTATATTATTTGCACAATTATTGCTCTTTACAAGCTAATGGCAAGTTTGAGGTATTGAGCGGCTGAGGCTTCACTCGTATTGTCAATGTCGTCTATTTCATCAAGCGATCATCACCTTTTTTTTTATAATTGTGGACACGCGGGTTAATAAACATCATTTCATCGGTCTCAATTTCATGGATCATTTTATTCGCACGTGAGAACTATGTTTACGGGGCAACTCTTCTCAAGATCTATTAATGCCTATTAAATATTAAAATGCCGGCATTTTTAATCGCGCGAATTTCCGATCCTTGTTAAACGAATTACGCGCAATATGCAACATAGTTGCATACCGTTTTATTCATAAAATAGAATAAATGTATTAAGCATATTTATTCAATCTTGTAAAGTGAAACTTTCGATTAATTTATATTTAAAGCTTTCACGAGGTTTAGCTTCAAAAAATATTTTCCCGCGTAAGTAAAACGTTCTATATGTATAATAATATCGGTTATACGATTAATAAAACTTGTCTCAAATATAATCCCCAGTAGCTAATTTAATGCTTATTATAATAATAATTCAACCCATCAGCTGGAGAATATTTTTAATTTGTATTCAATAACATTAACGTAACAATTGCAAAATGTATGGTATTTAATTAATAAATAAAAATGTTATTTTGAATATATAACATTATTATATCAAAAAAACATTACGATTATAATACTTGTCTGTACTAAGAATATACACTGCATTAAAATCCAAAGCAATGCATTGCAAAATGTTTCTTTGAACGTTTTAAAAGATAGCAATTTTAATGCTTTACTATAATTTGAAATTACGGAATTCGTTAAATTTTAATGGCACTATGGTTTCGATGAATGTAAACGCAAACATATTTTATTTTTATAATGTATAAAACACGTCATTGTAATGAAGTTTTACAATTTCAGTTCTGACACAATATTTTTATATTTTAAAAGCAAACTTGTAGAGCAAATTACAAGCTATGCATTCGCATATGTAAATTAAATTAATTTTGACGAAGTTAAGCCACGTTTATTTGCCCCTTATAAATTATGTATTAACCCTCCAAATAACAGCGATCCTATGCCTTACATATGAGGATTTTTATTTTCAACGAACCTATAATTTATTATTGGAGAAATATAGCTCGACATAATCTTTAGAATTAATTTTGCATTTCCTCTGAATATACAAATATTTTTTGTCAATAAACTTGAAACTATGGATGACCATATTATTATTATTTATTAATTCTTTTCTTTTTTTTTATCATATTTAACAGAAGAATGGTTAAGATAGACATTCTATCTTAAGTCCACAAATTGAGCATTTTTAATATTTAATATTTTGGACAAATAACCGACAAAATTAACGTTTATTCACGTATTTTCTGAAGCAGATTATTCTATTATATTCTATTATATTCAGAAAATATGCCAAAAATCGCCCTTGTCTCAATTTATGTAAATTGTCGTGGGCATTCGAGCTTAAGTGACACTGGTTACAAATGACAATGCCAACCACGAAAGTAAACGTAATTTTAATAAGGTTTGGCTCGAACTAACACCACATCCTATATAAACGGCCAAAGACGCGACTCTGACGAAATTCGCTCTCCATCTTCGTTTTTCTCCTCGCTCACTGCCCGCATGACACTCAATTATCATAAAGCCGACTTAACGGGGAAGTCCCGACGATAAAGAGAGTGCAACTCTAATACCTCGAAATTACGTCGCCACTTATTACCCGCGTCCATTCGCAACCACGACTTTGTACATTCTAACAATGCGCGATAATTGTCCTTGGCATTATTGCAAACTCATCAGGCTCTTCTCGGTTAAAGATGGGCTTGTGGTCGGGCGTTCGACACCAAGTGCGTCACGACTATCGAGCCCCGCGGTCGATTAAAAATCGTGATCTCATATTGGGAAAGTCCCCAGGGACTTATCGGCCCCCGTCCCCGCCCGTAATTGCAGATCGTCGAGTGAGAAATTGTCTTTGGCCATTTTAAAAGTGTTTCGTCAGCGAATTATGGAATTCGGTTTTTTCAGTGTAATTGGCCCAAGGTCGCGTTATTGGCGTTCCTCTAGCTTTGCCTCTTCGTGCATATCTTCTTTTTTGCGAGCCTAGCGTTTCGATCTTATTTGGTCTTAATGCCTTAAAGTTCGTAGAATCGGTTCTACGAGTTTTTGGATTATCGCGCTGTACGCTCTTATAATTTGCCTTTGTTCGACAAAGTAGCCCGAGTTTTGAAAGTTATATCCAGTTTCTTTGAAGGGAGAACGGAGGTATGATGGATCGAAGAAAGGGTAAAAATTGATCGACCACAATTGGCGCCATGATAATTGCTAACTCAGGCGAAGTCGAAGCGATATTGAAGGAAAGTAGAAATAGCGTCGCTTTATCGATTTATTTTACCAATCGAATAAAAATACTGGATCTTTACAATATAAATGTTGGTCTATCGCAGTCAGGCGCCATATTAGTTATATCAGAATATTTAATATTTGTATACAAGCCCGTGTAATTTATTGAAAAATGAAAACGCATGTTAATAAATTATAATTATATGAATGTGCGTATGCCTTATCGGTTGAAGTTATGCCAACAATGTTAAAATTCACGTAAGATTTATTTTCATAAAAACAATCTCTCTTCTTGTATGTAACAATGCATAAATTATAATACCGCTATACTTACAAAATTAAGTATTCTATTAATTTATAAGAGAAATTGCTCCTCGAATCAACATTTACTTATTTATTCTTCAATTTGTTATGAAAAATTTAACCTAAAAAATTATAAATGAAGAAATAATAATAATTTCGTAATGGAAGATTCATGTTAAATATAAAAATTACGATATTACATGTGACATCACATCGAGAAATTTTCAATTACTATACAATGAATATTTTTTTATGAAAGAATAATCTTTTAATCGCAAGACTGAAACTTTTTTTACAATACATGATTTTATTTGATTGAATATAGACAATCTTATTTATAAAATTAACAACCATGTTTCTATAAAAAGAAAAAGAAAAGATTTTAAGTAATATCTTAATTCAGTTTAATAATACACTTCAATAATATAATAATAATAATGAATCTAATCTCATTAATTATCATTATAGTATTATATTATTATTAATTATTATTGGATGCAAAATATCTTGCTCGGTACTTATATTTATAAAATACAACGAAAAATATAATCAAATTATAATTTTATCGATTTACTTTATCGAATACATGTAAATGTATATTTTGTTTTATAATAATAAAACTATATAAATGTCTGCTAAGAAAACCCGTTTAAGGCGAACACCCGTTTTACGTGATTCGTGAAAAGTTTTCGAAGAGTTCAAAGTAAAAGCGACCTTAACAACTTATACGAAATTCTTTTTTCAACATAATTACGTGGGTTAGATGCGAATTTGTTTGATTCAAAACTTAATTGCGATCCGTCTGAATATTGCAGATATATATGATTTCCATACAATTAAAGTTTAATTGTAGTAATCTTTAAACACGAAGTAAAATTGAATAGAAAGTATATTTTCATTATTATATAAGAAAGTTTTTATGTTTGTTAACTAATCTTAAAGTTCTTAACTCAGTCAATGTTCATCGAAGTCTATAACAGCTTATTATTAAATATCCACCTAAAAGAAACCTTAATATCATTAACATATGAATACAAATTCATATCAAATGCTTTTTCAACGGTAATCGTCTTAATAAATCTTAATAAAATATTGAACTGACTTATTAATCTTAATCTAATATTTAAGAAGAAACTATAATTTATAATTATTATTTTTATTAATATTCTTATTCGATATGTAGGAATGAGAGTAAATGTAATTGAATAATATTAATTAGCAGATTACTTGGAATCGATGTTCAAGTTTTTGCGCTCTCCATAAGGAGCTTTAGAGCGTAGATTTCTAATTATTTATACAAGTCGCGAATCATGTATTTATTTCATATAATATGGTAAATTACTGCACGAGTAGCTTCACATTCAAATTTTGAGCTAAGAAGAAAAGTTATGTACGTAGAAAAATGGGTCGAAAGTAAACATTGATACTGTTCGATGAAAGAAAAGATTAAGCGACATTGGTATTTAGAAAGGATTTGATCTCTCACTCAAATCAGTTTGTTATAGGTCAGAGTTTATCTATTATATTTCTCTTACCCTAAACTTTTTTACCTGCAATACATAACGGTATAAAATAAATTGTTCGAAAGTTCAAGCTAATCGGGACTGACGAGTCCAGATTAGAAAGTTTCGATTGAAAATTACATCACTCTCCCTCATTAATAGAAAATTACCTTTCCAAAAAGGGCCTTTTGCTAATCATTTGAAAATTCATTATTCGCTTAGATTTTTATCGATCGTTATAAATATTATGTAAAATTCAAAATCCGACGAGAACATAGAAATAAAATTAAATGTATAGTTTCTATTTAAAGTGCCACATTCAATGAGAATTTAAACTAATTTATTTCTCTCTCTCTTCTCTCTCTCTCTCTCTCTCTCTCTCTCTCTCTCTTTGTGTGCGTGTGTGTGGAAATGTTGCTTTTGATTAAACCATTCGTTTAATTTGCGAGAATAAATAGATCATTTGAGACGTAACATTATATATAATACATTAAAACTAATTTACTGAACTGTA